CCTCACCACCCCCTTAAAATAGGTGAAACTCGAACTCCAGCCCAGGAGTTGTGGCCTAGATGGCCCCGCAGAGAGACAGATCTCATCTCGCTCACAGCTACTGCCTCGGTGAACACCAGCCTAAGCACCTCCCTAACACACACACAGACACACACACGAGACACTCCCATTACATTAAAACGCACCCTAATGACACGGCTGTTAATGAAGCCGACGCGCATTATGATTGCACAGGTAAGCAGGTACCGAAACGAGAAGCCCCCACCAGTAGACTGGGCAATTTACCTCTCCCTACTGGAAACACGTGTAGCTTAGCGTGTTTTAGGAGTGATTTGCTGTTGTCTGAGATCTCCCCCTCCTCTTCTTGTGGAGAGAAGCCAAAAAAAAAAAAAAAAAAAAAAAAAATCATGTTCCATTGTCAGTCTTCTTTCTGATAAGCTACCCGATCATCGGTCTAAAACGTTTGGGGGATTTGATTTGGTTTGTTATCTGGTGTCTTTGGTTTGTTGTTTTGGGGTATGTTGTTTTTCTGAGGGAAGCAAAAGAACGTGTATTTGATGGGACTGCAGGTGCAGGACAAGAGCCTGCGGGTGCCACGGTAAGGCTGGCAAGGCTGGAAGCCGGTTGGTAGAGAAAGAAGGTGGCGGCTAGTCCTTTCCCGGGGTTGGCACCGGTTCCCTTGGCCCCCTCGGGCCTGGGCTCGGCCATCGCCGCAGCCGCCGCCCGCACTAGCGGGCTCCACCGGCTGCCGCTCCGTGTTTTCCCCCATCCCGGTTTCACGTTCAAGGTTTAGCTGCGAGGTCACGTCCATTGACGTCAGCTCCCTGTCTCCCTCTACGTCCGGCTACATTTACATACATCAAGGAAATTAGGGCATTAAAAAAATATGCAAATCCTGCGCGAAGAGGAGCCGGTGCATTCCTGGCGCGATCGCCTTTTATTGAAGCTTTTAATTAAAGGGGCCAGTTGGCGAGCCCATGAAACAACCGCCAAAAACCCCAAAAGAGAAAAATAAACGCTGTAGCCTTCGGGAACGGTTGTTTCGGCTCCTGTTCTGTGGGCGGCTGAGGACCGCCGGCTGCCGGGCTCGGAAAAGAACAGGTTAGAGGAGGCAGCTCCAGCCCATGCATAATCAGGGCTCCGCGGCGCCTCCATTCTTTCCTCCTCCTCCTCTCCTCCTCCTCCACCTCTCCTCCTCCACCTCCTCCTGCTCCCGCTCCTGTTGGTTCCAGCGTGTATTATTTTTAATACTGATGCATATGTAAAGGTATATTTGCATTTTTTAATTCGCGAAAAGTTGAGGTTATATCGTTTTATTGATCTCCCTCCTTTTTTACTTTTTCTTTCTTTTTTCTTTCTTTTTTTATTCTACCTTACGTCTGTCTCTCTTGTCCTTTTATGTCTTTATTTTTTGGCGAGTGTCTGTTGCTGTCTCTTGCAAGATAATATGCACAGTTGTCCCTTTGCTTCTCTTTATTTAAGGCTCCAAATATGCACATCTGTCATATATGTAATGCCAGCTGTATAACCTCCTGGTTTGGTCATAAAAAAAAAAAAAAAAGAAGACACGGTTTTTTTGTTTGTTTGTTTTGTTTTTGTTTTGTTTTGTTTTTCTTTCCTGACATACCCCCTTGATGGGCTGTAATGCCCATTGCTCAAGGCTCAAAGTTTGATTGTCTAATTAACTTCAGATTAACAAAAACACAGTTCAGGCCAGTGCATTTGAGATAATGTATGTATAAAGGGAAGTGACTCCAAAGATTTCTAAAGAATTTTTGTGCTGATAACTGAAATGTGCAGCATTCACTGCCCTATTGCTTTCTAGCATTTGTTATTGCTGAAAAAAATCTTTTTAAAAATGTGTAGACACAGCAACCGACAGCCTTCTGCAAGGAAGACATTTTCAACCATGTTGTATGTTGTACCTTATCTGCTGAATTCAAAATTTACTGAGTTTCATTTTTATCTTAATATGGCTGGAAACAAGGCACGTTATCTTGATTGAAAAGCATCCTTAATTCCTGACTTTAAAATGAAAACAAACAAAATAGCTGACTATATTAAGCCAGTTGATTTGCCCTAAAATACACAGGCCTTGAGTTAGATTTCAAGCAATGCTAATCTTGTTTATAGAGTAGAATTTTCCTTCCTGGCAGTATATCTATTCAGCACAATGGCTTTTGAAAAATATATATGTATAAAGTCCACTTTTTAAATTCCTCCAAAGCTATTATTTTTAAAAAGACTGAATCAATAATTGCATAGCCACAAAGAACAGCAAATATGCACACATGCAGCTCATTCAATTAAACAAGTCCAAGTACATGCATAGGTAATTAGTTTTCTTATGAATGACTTACCTGCACAGATACTCAGGGCAAGACTCAGCCCACCCCAATGGCTTTCATGTATAAATATTCACATGTATTTTCCCCCCATTTTAAACCTACAGCTGTATGCCATCTTTCATGCTGGACTATCCAGCATCCATTTTTAGCACCCTTAATTCTTATGGTATTTCCAGCCTTACCTCTGGCTGTAGTTTTCCAAGCCTACACCAAAATGTTCATATGGTATGTCACCCAATAAAAAGTGGTCAGATGGCTGCACGTAAAACATTAAAAAACAGAAACACATTCATCCTTTAGGTTTGCCCTTACCTTGCAATATATAGCAAGATTATCTTTTCTAAAGCACATTTTCAGCAAATGTTATGAATAATTGCAGGATTCCACAACTGGTTGCAGGATTGCTGGTTTCTGGGGGGCACCTGCCTGAGTGAAACAATTCAGTAGGTTAAATGTCTCTTCTAGTTTGGCTGCAATTCAATCGTGCGTGGCGATTTGTTCCTGCCTGGATTCTGGCACATACCTGCCCGCCTTTATGCAGGGATCAAGACAAATACACGGCCACGTTGCAGGGTATAGAGTGGCGGTGTATATATTTAGATGGTAGTAGCAAAGAATGTGTGTATGTACGGATGTCTGTGCATGCATGTGTGTACAGACGCGTGTGTGTGCGCGCGCTGTGTGACAAGGGATACAGAGAGGTACACCTCATATCTGATCTTTCTGTAATCTTTTCTGTTTCTAATCTCCCTTATTGGCGCATGGTAGTAACCTGAAGCATCTGAACCGTCACGGTCACTGCCTTGTGCGCGCTGTGGCTTACCCCTGGGGCCCGTGGCTCGGTGGCTCGCTGGTTCCGTGGGTGTTGTGCCGGAGGGTGGGTAGCGCCGCTGCCGCCGCCGCCGCGGGTCCGGGTACTCTGTCCC